TGATCCCCAGAACGAAATATACAATTTTGTTAATATTATAAATACCTACCACGAAGCAGTTCACTGAAAAACAACGTTGTTGCATTACGATCTGTTGAAGTCTTCATGTCCATAGGTGTATCTTGAGCCTCTTCGACAACATATTCTGCAAATACAAATGACAAATGAATAACCAGAACACAAAAAATGCGAATACAACAGACAAATCCACAGCAATACTTACTGTATGAATTGTTAGCGCTGCCCAGCGAAAATGGACGAGCGACCTGACGACTCAAGGCCGAAATTCGACCTTTTTTCCATAAAAAAATCAAAATATTAATTCAATAGGAAAAACCAAGAACTAGAAAACAGATATATGCGGTTGAAAATAAAGTTTAGGATGACTAAGATGCTAAAATTCAATATTTTGTTCGCATATACCTCGAAGAAATCTCGTAGTGATCTGCGCCATCTTGGATGCAGTGCGCAAGGTTTGATGGGTAATTCCTTCCCACAAAGGATTGTGGGTCAAGGTATGGGATTGCATTGCATGATGGTACAAGGTGCTGTAAACAAAAATGGCGGCAAACTTTGGACAGAGTTTACGATCTGCTGTTACATCGGTAACAGAGACAGYGTTCCCGATGTCACGGTCTATCAGGGATTACCCGAGACATCAGCTTATTAATGATGGTAAGCTCTTGCATCTTTTATCGAGCAAAAATTATTTCTTTATCGAGATCGAGCAATCCAAAATCAGCTGAGAAACAAGCTCTTTTTCGTCTCCTGGGACTTTATGAAAGGCATTCACTGCCTTTTATTTTCGTTGTTTTTAAGCTTGATTCTTTTCTGTGATACAAATTATGTTTTACTATTTACCGTTTCTGTTGTGGAAAACTAAGAGCTTTGTTTTGTCATATATATATCCTGGAACACAATCTGTCACTCTTGTTTCCATGGATACAGACCTGTGTCATTGGGAGTGGGGATATTGGAGACAATTTTTGTAAAATGGATGGAAGAAGTTGTGACTATATCACCTCAAAAACCAGCAAAAATTCAAAACTTTGTCAGAATAAGCAAAATCTCATGAGCAGAAAATCTGATATAGAAATAGATGGTCAAGAGTGCCCTTAAATAGTCAATATGTCTTTGTCCCCTACAATGGTTTATAAGACTTATTACTTAACCATTATTCCTTGTGTGTGGTGGGTTTTTTTTACAGGTAATGAGCTGGTATCAGATTTATCCTTACAAATGGCACTGTACTTTAATGCCTACTTTTCACCTTTCTGGTTTTTGACAGCAGTGGTCATGTTGGTGGCCAAGGTATGGCTTTGTCTTCGTCGTTTGAGGGAAACATTTTATTATACAGTTGCTCATTAATTCTTTGATAAAAAGAAACAAAAAAATACAAATATTTGATTATGCAGTTGCAATGATTTATTAACACTAACTCTATTTTTCATTACAGTATGACAGCCTTAACTTCTACTATAAATTTCTTTTGATTGCTATTTATATTGTTATGGCAATTGTGGAAATGACCAGACTTTACCTTGGCTACATTGGGAACCTTCAGGAAAGGGTAGAGAATTATTTTTAAGATCATAATCTGTATTTAGCCATTATGCTTTGACACCAATTTGGACAACACACACACCTAACCACAACATCAAATATTCTATGAAGACAGCTGTTGACTCTTAGAGAGGGTTAAAAACCAGAAACTTCAGAGGAAACCCTAGGCTCAGTTTTCCAGCTGTCAGGGTTTTGTGCTTGAGCCTAAGAATACCTTTTATGGTGAGGGAGAAGACAACACATGAGTTAAACTCTATTCATATAGGACATCTGCAGGGATCCATTTCACAATAGACCTTTTTAATACCTTGGGCATAGTGTTTTCCCATTTCAGACCACGT